CGTTTTGGTTACATAATTTTCTTTTGTACAGTTTGAATCAAAGTTGTAAGTGTGCCCTCCACCCAGTTAGTGTGCATTGTACCCGTTAGGTGTGAATTTACCCATCGCTTCCTCCCTGCTCCCACCTACTTGATTTCCCTTGAGTTTTACTTTCATAAGTGTTGATCTGTTAGGTCCAATTTAGTGTTGAGTACATGTAGTGTTTGTTTTTCCATTCTTGCCATACTTCACTAAGAAGAATGGTCTCCAGTTCCATCCAGATTGTTATAAGAGATACTAGATCATCATTTTTTTAGGAACACAAAGCTCTTAAAGGCTGTAGCCAAAGTGTGAACCCAAGTCTGATTGACATCGGAGTTGATGGCCTCAACCATGAACAGGCCACCTGTGTGAAAAGAGGGGAAGAGGGCCATGGGGGGCATGAGGGAGCAGAGAGGGAGGATTTAACCGGGGCTGGGAAGGTGAGGCTCCCCAGGCTTGAGGGAGAAGGAGGAGCCTGCCCAGCAGGAGGGTGGGGAGCAGAGTGTCCCCAGAGATGGCAGAAAACATCCTGGGGGGAGTGTGAGGGAGATGGGAGAGGGGATGGGGAGTTCTGAGGCTGGAGAGGCACCCACAAGGGCCTTGTGATCAGGGCTGCATTTGAGGGGCCCTGGCTACTGGCTGCAGAAAGGCTGGAAGTGAGTAGGAGTGAGGAAGGGGTGCAAGGCAGAGGTGGAGAGCATCGTGGCCTGGACAATGTGTCAGCAGGGGCACATTCTGATCCCAGAGTTGAGTGGTGGTGGATGGGCAGGACTCAGGGTGCCCTGGAAGTGAAGGGCCTGGGTTATCTACATAGGTCAGCGCACCATTCAGGGAACGGTGTTTGAGGACCCACTGGGGCTAGGACAAGCGGAGCCGAGGAGGACCGGACCTGTCTTTTGGGAGTGGCAAATGCATTCCAATAACAGAAGGATTTGCCGGGGTCTCAGGCTCTGAGGTCCCAGCCTCCTGCCCCTGTGGCCTCAGGAAGCACTTAATTCGCTCCTCTGTGAAAGGGAAGTTGTAAAAGCAACTCGTAAGATCATGGCACCAATAAATGAGCTAACGTGTGCTCAGCTTTTGACCTAGTCCCTGGTGTGTAGTGAATCCTCAGTGAACACAGGCTCTGGTGGAGGCCCCACGAGAGCCTCTCAGGGCTTCCAGCCATTCCACAAGGGGGAAGGGCAGCTTCTGGGAGCAGAGCCCAGGGTTCCAGGGCATGTCACCTTGCCCTTGGTTAAGGAGCTCCAGCTGGTGCTGGCACAGATTCCTTCTCCTGAGCTGATATTTGGGGACTGTTCACTATGTACAGGGGTTGCATTTTTTAATATATGACACCTTTGATAAGCAAAAGACATTTCCATCGTGGACAATATTGAAATAATAGAACATATGCAAAAAGTAAAAAATAATCCGCAATTCTACTACATAGTCATAACCCCTATTTAATATTTTGATTTATCTTTAAGCTTTTTTCTATACATGAAAAGATAGGGATATACCAAAATTGGCTTCTTGCTATTTATACAATTTTATAAGCCATATAATCTGTAAAGATTCTTCAAAAACGCTGTTTTGATAGTTTCCCTCTCGTGGATGTGTTGCAGTTTTTACTTAAGCATTCCTTTCTGGAGGAACATTTAGTGGATTTCACTTCTCGTTATGACACCTGCCTGGGACACTCTGACTGCGTCCACAGGGTGTATCCTGAGAGCTAGAAACCTGGACCAGAACTTGAACCTTCTAAGGCTCTTTAAGGTTTCTAGGTGGGTTTTACAGACTTGGCCCCGCGTCTTTGGAACAGGAGCCTGTCCCTCTCCCAACTCCCTTATCCCACTCTGGGGTGCCAATTTTCTTTAGATGTTATTTATTTGATAGAAAAAAATATCCTTTAAATTTGTATTGATCTAGTTTCTGGTAAAACTTCACTTCTTTCCTGGTTTCATTTTTTCAGTGCTTAATCAATTTCTCAGATAATATACTTTGCTGAACATTTTCCTGATCACAATATGTATTTAGAAACAAAATCTCAGGACCTCTGGTTTTCTAGGTGGCAAAATCCAATTTGCAAACGGATCAATTAAATTCTTCTCTGGAACAGCTTCAGCGCAAGATAGAAACTTGTCGAGACTCAAAGGGCGATAAAACAGTAAGTGCTCAGTCGATTCTACCTGCGAATAATAAAGATGTGTCATGCTAGAATGGCGACCTTGAAATAAACTTACATGTGTGCGCAGGATTTCTGCAGCACAAGGGGTGTCCTGGAGCCTTCCTACTTAACCCCTGTTTTACTCAAAGGAATGAAAGAAGGAAGAGAAGAGGAACCAGCCACCGTCCCCCACTCTACCGCCCCTCAGGCAGGCATGTGGAGTGCAGGGATGGGGACCGGAGTCTGGCTTCCTCTGACCTCACTACCCCCAGGATGTCACCAGGTGTCCCTTGCTGTAATGGGAACTCAGCCTGGTGCATGACAGAAGCAGAGCTCTGCCCTCTCAACAACTGCTTTTGTTTGACTTTTCACTTGTTTCTTTTGATCCTAGCACAAACTGATTTTTTCTGTCTATACCATGAAAAGTCAGAATTGGAGCAGAGCTTGGGAGGGGCTTGGTTCGAAGTGCCTGCCAGGCTCCAGTCAGCAGAACAGTCTTTGTGCTTGTTTTCTGCCACGAGTACACATCTCTGTGCCCCATTCCACGTGTGCCTAGGCCACCCCGAGAAACTTTTCCTTAACAGCTCAGCCAGGCACTCCCAGAACCAGATGCCCCCACCTGAGGGTTCTGGGGTGGGAAGCCTCCTCCTCACCATCCTCTGTCCTTTCTCTTCCAATTCAGTGACGCTGAGTTGTGGTTCTATTACTAGCACTGAGAGGACATTTATTTTTCTTTCTTTATTGCTTTTAACATACGGTATTGCATGATTCTTGAGAAAAGTTCGAACATCCACAAAGCATCGAGTGCAGAATAAATGTCCCTCACACTATTCTCATTTTGGACTCTAAACCCTGACACGTACATTCATGCACGTGTTTCTGTGCATTCACTGAGATTACTTGCACTGCAGTGCAGATGTGCAGAGGAAGGGTGGTTCCTATATTTTGCCGGTGACTTACCTGGTCTTGCTTCTGAGCCTACTCACTGGGGAGCAGGGGAAAAATAAGGTTAATCTGCTGCGCCCCTTCACCAGGCCCTTTAGGGCAGGCTCTGCTGCTCCCGAGTAGAAATGTTTAGTATCTCACATTTCCTCGCTTCCCTCCCCCTGCTCTGTCCTCTCCTGTCAGGGTGTTGAGCAGGTGTCAGGGGCTTGCCCAGCCTGCTGGCCAGGTGAGGAACACGTGAGCGTGGTTGCGCAGGCGTTCCTGTGTTGATGGAGGAGGCTGCTTTGACAGTCTGCAAGCGATAGCAGTGCCTCACATATGTGATGAGGGAGAGGATCCTCACGTTGCTTCCCTGCGTACCTGTGGGGTGCTGCTCCAAGCTGGGGGAGGGGGCATGTTAGATGTTGCCATGGAGATGCCAGATTGCCCTCCTACACACCTTCACCACCTGGAGCAAATATTTCCTTCTAAACACAGAATGTTAGAGCCGGAGGAGAGCCTGGGGAATATTCTGTGTCCCCATCTTACAGATGAGGAGACTGAGCTGAGCAAGTTCGAGTCATTTGCCTGGAGTTGAACCTGTAGAACAGGAACAGAACTTCTGGTGTCCTCCTCAGTGAAGTGTGTGCTGGCTCAGTGTAGCCACCTAGGAGAGCCAGCCCAGCGTCCCCTCTCCCCTGGGCCCTCCCTGCTAGCGAGGGGCTGCCTTCGAGCCAGGAGGCATCCTTACCAGCTCAGCCCCCATTTCTGCAGTGCCGGTGCAATCCGCCTGCTCTCCTGCGGGCTGCTTCCTAGGCCTTCCTTCCTCCATGTCCTCACTAGGTAGTGACCACAGAAGAACTCCTTGGCTTTGTCCGAACTTGGAAAGAAAGACTGAGCCAGAGGATTCAGTACCTCAACTGCAGCCTGGACATGGTGTCTGTGACGCAAGTGGTCTTCGCGGTGAGGAGTGGGACGGGGCTGCAGGGAAGGGGTGAGCGATTGTCTGGGCTCCTCGGAGACCAGCAGGACTGTGCTGGACACCAGGCCCACTGAGATGCTGTGGACAGGTACAAGCGGAGTCGGATCTGGATTCTAATCCCCAATGGGCCACTTCCCTGGCACCACCATCAGCGCCCTCGACTCACCCCATCCACTGGCTCTCGGGCCGGCCCCACCTCTCAGCCCCTTCCTACCCACCTGCACCCAGGCTTCTCCCCATGCCACCCCCACCATCTCGTCCAGACCCGCTGCCTCCCACCCACCTGGCCACCCATGTCTTTGCACATCCCCCCTGGTCCCTTCCCTGAGCTGCAGGCATACCAAACGTCGGAGGTCTGACCATGTCACCCCCCTGCCCTCAGGTAAAGTCCAAACCCTTTAACTGGATACGCAGCAGCCTCGGTGGCCTGTCCTATATGCCTTTTCATCCCTCTCACCCTGCCAAAGACGTCACTTCCCCCAAGCCTTTTCCCACCCCCTGGTCGGGGTTGGGGTCTCCTGGCCCACGCGGCACCACCCACTTCCCCATGAGCACACAGACCACACAGCGAGGCCCCATGTAAGAGGCTGTCTGCCGGAGATGTGAGCCTGACAGGCAGAGCCTGTGTTACCCTCACCCCTGCCCACTCCTCACCCCGGGCTTTACCCACAGAGGCGCTCAGCCCACTTGCAGGGCCAGAGAGCTGAGGGCTGCAGAGACACAGCGCTGCCATGCCCTGCTCGCCCCGTTGAGCTGTGACCAGCCCTCTTTCTGCAGGGAGCCCCTGCCCACCACGCAGCCGGCACTCGGCCTCCATCCCCCTCTGTCAGCACGGCACCTGGCAGGGTGGAGGCCCCACGGGTCCAGCCTGGACCCTTCCCGCAAGGGGCTGACAGGCCACTGCTGAGATGAGACTCAGAATGAAACAGGAACCAGCCTGACTAAGCTCCTACAGTGGCCACAGATTCCACCCTTTCTCTAAGGTCCTGCTTTCAGGGAGTTGGCCACTTGCTCAGCCTGGCATTCTTACATTCCCTCGTCCATTTCGCCAAAAACGCTGCCTGGGCGCATTTGCAGGTCTCACTTCAATCTCGCAGATGATGCCGGAACTTTGTTTTCACAGTACTTGTCCAAATTTTGACCAAGCATTTATTGGTATAAGTGCAAGTTAAACATCTGCCTCTTTGACAAGACTGCAGGCTCTGTAAAGGGCAGAGATCACAGGTGACCTCTTGGCCCATGTCCCCAGAACACAGGCAGAGACTCGTGGAGAGCAGGTACTCGGGAAACGTTTTAAAGGCACGAATGAACAGACAAATGAATGAACAACCTTCTAAGGGAGACAGGACCTCTACCACTTTAAAAAGAGAGGACAGAGTCTCGAGGAGGTTGGCCAGCTTGCCTCTGGCCACACCATTTGGATGAAGAGGTGCTAGAGTGTGAACCCAGCCTGCTGCCTCCTCCACACCTGGGCTGGTCTCCACACACTCAGCCCTTCTCTCTGGCCTGCAGGACACCATCTTGACTGACCTGGAGGAGGAGAGTGACATCGTGGTATCTTCAGAAGTCCTTGAAGAGGAGTCCAAGGAGAACCCGATCACCCCTGAGTCCTTCGGCCTGCCGAGCCGCATGGGGAAGCCCATGATTGAAGACCCAGCCGTGGAGGTGGTCAAGAAGATCCTGCAGTGAGTGGCTCTAGGGTGCACACTGGGGCCCTGCCACCATGGCCCATGGCCTTGAACCTTCAGGGACTGGCTTGGGGGCCCCACACACTGGGGTCCCTCTGTGACCTTGATTGAGCAAGGGGCTTCCCACTCAGAGCCTCAGTTCCTCATCTGAAATGGGGCCCATGATGGGACTCCCAGGGACCAGCTGGGATGCTGCCCCCAGCCTGTCCTGAGCTGTCCTCATGGTCACTGTGGAAAAGCTCACATCCTTTCCTTTGGTTTTGTGCTTTCCAGCTCAAAATGGCCAGACCAGGGTGACAAAGATCGGTCCCAGACAGGTAGAGGCACAGAGGCCTGTGGTCTGGGGGCAGCAGTGGGGAAGCTGGTGGTGCTGTGTGGCCCCTCCTCACCTCCTATCCTCACTCTCATCCTGGCTCTTGTCACCCAAAGGCCTGAAGCGTCGGTACCGGCCAGAAAGCTCTGGGAAGAAGGCCATGCCCGATGCCAGCGCCACTTCTGCAGGGAGGTAGGGCACGGGGCTGCCAGGACGCCTCCCCAACTCCAGCTTCTCCCCCTAAAGGCAGGGGACAACCTGTTGCTTTCCCAGATACTGTCTCAGAGTGGGCCAGCTCCGATGCTGGCTTTCTTCGGGTTCGAGCTCATCCTGCAGAGGGACATGGCTCACATAGGCCTCCGGCCTCAAGAGCGTGACTGGGAGTTTGGTCCCAGTCTGGTGTCTCTCAGCCATGCTACCTCCCACACTCGTGGTTGTGGTTAGAAAGAAGGGCAGTTGGAGCCGTGGAGCAGATAGCTTTCCTGGGGTGCTGTCACGGAGCCGAGGAGTCTTGGGTCTTGGTGCTCTGCCCACTAAGGCGCATCAGGGTGGTTAGACTGTGGGAGGAGGCAAAGGCAGCCAAGTGAGAGGGGCAAAGCCTATAGCGGGCAGTCGGCCACCATCAAGGGCTTTCAGGAGAGCCTCCCGGGTGGGCAGAGGAGTGGGAAGCGTCCCCTTCCTCTGCAGCTGTGCCCTGGCTGGAGCTGTCGGCCTGGGGAGCTGGAGGTTACAGGGCATCCTATGCAGTGGGCTACGGGGGCATATTTGACCTCTCTGGTTGGTCCCAAATTGGAAATGAGTACGAAACTTAGGGAACTTGTCATTCATTAATCAAGTTCTGGTGCCTATTGTTACAGGAGATGTTGTTTAGCTTCCTGGGTGGTTGCTGGAGATAACACTCTGGCTCCCTGCGGTTCTGACTTCTGGCAGGCTGGCTTCCTGGGCTGCTTGTCCTGGATAAGGGGGCTGTGGTCTCCTGTGTAGGTTGCCGCAGGCTGTGGGTCAGAGTTCTATTTCGTACAGATGATCCAGCCATCAGCCGTGTCTACGTTCAGTCTCTAAGAGGTTATAACATGAAGTCCATGTCACTAGAATTGCCAGATAAAAGAGAGGGTGCCAGAGAGGGTGCTCAGCTAAATTGGACAACAGTTAATTTGTTAGTATAAGTATATCCCCAATATAGCATGGGACATACTTATACTAAAAATTATTCTTTGCTTATATGAAATTCAAGCTTAAATGGGTGTACTGTATTGTTATTCGATATACCTGTGACTCTTTGGGTCTTTTTCTTTGGGTCCTCACCCCAGGGAAGCAAGAATGCAAATTTCTGGGCCTGAGCACCTCTGCCCCTTGCCTTCTCTCAGCAGCCTTGGTTGGGTTTTAGTGGCAAAGGTTTCACCCCAGGATAGGTGTTCTTCACAGCTGTTGAGGAGGAGGTCATCGCGAAGGGCTCGGACCCAGAAATGGGAGTCAGGTTGCCCACGGGCGGGCCCAGCGCCTCCAGCAGCCCGGGCAGGGCTCCTGTAGGTTCAGACCTGCCTTCATCTGTCCCCAGCCTCCGGAGCACCGAGCCGCCTTTGTCCCACAGCTTCACAAAGCACTCCAAGCCCAATAGAATGGACCGGAAGTACCAGGTGCTTGGGGAGAAGCCTCCACCTCCTGCCGAGTAAGTGACAATGTCTTTTCCTTTAACTGCAGTTACCTTGTTGTTGCAGTCGGGGACAGCCAAATCTGACTCAGCTGAGGGGAAAAATAGAAAGACAAGGAAGGGGATGGGGAGGCCCGAGGTCATTTTGTCTCAGCCCATTTCATCTACCTTCGTTGAGAGTCTTTTTCACCAGAATTGCACAGTTTCCAAGCTAAGCATTTTGTGATGGCAGGGCAGCAGACTCTTTGAGGTTTTGGGTTTTTGGTAATTTTTTCCAATGCCCTCATCAATTTCTCTTTTCCTTTATTATAATTTCAGTGTTTAAAACCACAGCTGGTCCACATAGTGTGGCTTCATTTCAAACAAACAAACAAACAAGTAAAATCTCAAGTTCAGAAAAGGAAAAACCCTTGGAGAAAGTCAAGCTCCGCAAAGGAGCCCCCACTCCCCCCAGTCAGGAGCTCCCATATAGCGCGCCCTTCTCAGCAGCCCTTTCACCCGGCGGGGGGTCTCATCTCTGGGGATTGGGAATGGTGCAGAGAAGGGTGGCCGTTACTTTAGGCAGCCCAGACGTCACCCACAAGCCAGGGGCTAGACATTCCCTTGTCCACACACCAAGACATTCCTGCACCCTTGACATCTCGACCCTGTTTTTTATAGTTCTGATGCAGGAGGGTGTTTGGTTCTACCCAAAGTCCTGTTCGTTTGATTACTGTTTATAAGTGATCATTCTTTCTTCTTTCAACCAATCCTGAGGCACTGGCAGGCGTAGTCGCTGCCCTGGGGCAAGGGATTCCTTGGTGAATAAGAACAGACACATACACAGTCTGTGTCCTGTGCTAAAAGATAAAGTCAAGCACATTAAGATCTTAACGAGTTTATTTGAGCAGACATTAAGTCATGAATCAGGCAGTGCCAGACCCCAAGCAGGTCAGGGCTCCACCGAGGGGTAGACAGGAAAACTCTTATTAGTTGTTCACAGAAGCAAGACAAAGAAAAGATTTGCTTAGTTAAGTGGAAAGTCCCTCGTTGGCTATTCCTCACTGGTTAAACTTAGGTTTAATTTTCCTAGTAGCCATTCACTCTGAGCTGGGTTTGGGTTCGCTTATGTAGAAACCCCAGGCAGTGGAGCTGTTTCAGCCCAGTGGCCTCCCATTCAGTATTTTAAACATTTAGTGGACTTCACAGTCTGCTGGGAGCAAGGGAGGTTAAAACCAGCCAGCCACACGGCTCAATCCCGAATCCTGATTAGAGTGCTGTGGGGCTGAGGGCCACCCCAAAAGCATCAGAACCAGGAGGTAAGAAATTGGTGCTGGGCCAGGATCTGAGGAACAGCAGGAGCAAACACAACCAAGAAGAAAGTTAGCAGCTTTTATGGCGAGGAATCAGGGTGTGCAAAGGTCCTGGGGCAGTGATTACAGGAGTAACAGGGCAAAACAGAGCACTCAGAAAGTTCTGCTCATTTGGTTTTATTCACGCTGGTACGTCTAGACAAGGACACTCAGGGATCTGCCTGGTGTGTGTTACAGGGATTTTAAAGGGACCATCTTGACCCTCCTCTGGGAGAGCAACGAGCACCTGCTGACCGTCGCGGAGGTGAGGACCTCTGCCCACAGGTCCAGCTGCCTCTGCCCTCTGCAGCCTGCTGGTCTTGGCCACTAGGGGGAAATAAGGAAGAGAGGATTCCACCCCCAATGACCTTGGCTCCCCAACTTCTGTCTTCTCCTGTGGTGTTTTTTCTCCTAGAAACTAAACCTCATTCATTCATTATTCATTTAATTGGTCGCTGAGCATTTCTTGAATGCTGACGTGTCAGGAAGTGGGTATGCCAAGAGAAACAAGCCCAGCCTCTGTCCCTGAGTTGCCCAGTGCCCAGCCAGAGGCCAACAGACATGGTGGGGTACAGAGAGAGGGAGGGGTGGGGCTGTGGGAGGGGGGACCTGAGGGACCTCTCAGAGTCACTGCCCAGCGCCCTGTCCCCACACACCCTGCACAGTGGGGCTGGCGTGAGCTCCTGTCCACTTTCCACGGGGCTGTCTGCTTCCTCCAGGGCAAGGTCTCTGGCTCGTCCACCTCTGTGGCCCACGGCCCGTACCCAGCTTGGTGCTTCCTGGCACATTCCCAGCCTGGTGACTGATTTGAGATTCCATGGATTTGAGTCGTAAAGGATAAATAGGATTTTGCCATTCACTCACTTGAGAAATAACAAGGGCTGGCCATGGCATATGGAGGGAGGTGACAAGGGTAGCCAGGGAGGAAGAGCATCCCCAGCATAGGGGACGGTATACACAAAGGCTAGGAGGTGTGGGCTGGTGGATCCCAGGGGCAAGGGCCAGAGTCCCGCAGCAGGTCCTTGCCCCCACACAGTCAATCCTCTCTGGCAGGATTTTTACCGCAAAGAGAGGCAGCGCCCAATAACCAGGCCTGACTGCATGTATGAAACCTTCGACCAGTGTGCCGAGAACATCTGCAAGAAGATCCTGGAGTACCAGAGCCAGGCGGAGGAGTACCACAACTCCTGCCTCGTGGGTGTGTGTGGGAAGCTGGTGGCAGGGGTGGTGAGTGGGGTGGTGGAGCTCGGCCTTGGCCTTGTGGCCTGGCTCCTACCCTCCTGATTCGGAAGTCACTGGGGAGACAGAGGAGCCCCCCTGTGAAAAGCTGACCTCTTCACTTAGGCAAAAACAATGATCAGATTTAACTGAGGAAAAAAAACAATGCAAAAAAAGTTCACATTTCTTGAGAAATATGGTAATTTGTACCTCTAAAAATATTTTGTTCCTTCTATAGATATTTTTTACAGCTGTATTGAAGTATTTGCATGCCCCACAATTTAGCCGTGTAGCGTACAATTCAGTGGTTCTTGGTTTATTTGGAGTTGTGCAATCACCACCACCATCAGTTTTAGAAACCCCATCCTCCCATCCTCTCCCCAGCCCTAAGCAACCACTAATCTACATTCTGCCTCTATAGATTTCCTTATTCTGTGCTTTCATGTGAATGGTATCGTATAGTATGTGATCTTTTTTTTGTGACTGGTTTCTTTCATTTTGCATAATGTTCTTAAGGTTTATGCAAAAGTATTATTATGCATGCATAAACCTTATTTCTTTTTATCACTGAATAATATTCCATTGTATGGATCTACCACATTTTGCTGTGGTCTGCTGTGTTGTTTCAAAGGCTGCCTGCGGAGAAGTAGGAGAGATTAGGGGATAGTGTTACAGTCCAACCAGATTCATTGCCTGCTGCTCAAGAGGAAACCAATACACTGAGACAGCAGGTGTTACAACAGAGAAAGGGTTTAATATTGCAGGTGCCTGCAAAGAGATGGGAGGATGTTCTCAAAGCCATCTCTCCAAGAATTTGGGAGAAAGGGTTTTTAAAAACATTTGGTGGGCAAAGGGCTAGGCAATTGGGTCTGCTGATTGGCTGGGTTCAGAGTAGAACCACAAGGGTGAAGAAATTGTCTTCTTGCGCTGAGTCAGTTCCTGGGTGGGAGTCGCAAGTCCAGTTGTATCAGTTGCTTGGTATGGGCCACTGGTCTAGGTGGGTCAGCCAGCCTACTGGAATGCAGGGCCTGGAAGACATCTCAAAAACTAGCCCTAGGTTTCACAAGAGTGATGGTATCTCTGGGCGTAATGAAGAAAACTGAGAATATGACCATCAGCTATGTGACCCCTGAGTAGCAATTATAAGAAAGCAAGCTAGGAGACAATGGCTGGTTATATATGTATTTTACCTGTGCCTATGCCTTTGCAGAGTTCAGGCCCCCACCACAGTTCCCTCCTTGTGGCTCTTTATTAATTTTATAAAGGGTGGTTCCAATAGCAGACCTGGGGCCAGGACCCAACACTGCCATCTCCTAGCTGTGTGACTTTGGCCACATGATCTCAACTCCTTAGCCTTAGTTTCCTTGTCTGTATACTGGAGATAATAACACTCACCGTGGAAGCTTTTTTGAGGAGTAAGTCCCTTGCACAGACTTGGCATGTACAGGGAATAATCAATGGTAGCTTTCATTGCTATGGTTGTTGAATGACTGGAACGAAAACTACAAACAATGTTTTGTTTCTCTAGCTCAGAACTTTCCCAAGTGAGCTCTGTGGGAGCCCATCCTACGTGATCATCCTCAAGGGTTCCATGGTCAAATGGGTTTGGGAAGTGCTATAGATTGTGTCCCTCTGGTTGATTCATAATTCACATTAAGCATGACTTCCAGTTTTTCTGCAGTTTGGCAGGCCAGTATCCTGACCAACTCTCCCACCGAAGACACGTAATATGCTGGAGGAAATATTTTGTGATAAAATCTTTTAAATGCATTGATGAGATATCTGTAAAGTAAGAAACATGCAAAAGCCAAAAAATAAATGAAAATAGAAACTCTGAGTGATAACTTGAGTTTGAGCAGTAACTCTGGTTATTGCCCCAAGGGTAATTTGCTGACTTTCAGGTGAACTTGTGTCTCCATTTTCATGGCCTCCAGGGCATTGGGAATAGGAGACAAATCTACTGAATGCCCCAAGGTGGGAAGTCTAAAAGGAGATAAGCCACCTAAAGCTGGAACTCCACAGGGCTCCACCTGCCAAGTAAGGTGAATGAGACATAAACCAAGCTTCTCTCTCTCTCCCTCTAGCAACTAGAAGGAAACTGTCTTATCAAAAACCTTGGTACTGAGTGAAGGAAAAAGAAAAAGAAAAAAACTCCAGTGAGAATCCAGAATTATATGCCAGCCCTTGTGTGGTTTCTTTTTTTTTCTATATTTTATTTGCTACCTTATGTGGTTTCTAAACCTGAACTCACAGGTTATCTAAACATGAATTCAATTTTTTTTTTGTGGAGCATCCAAAGGACCTCAATATGATACCTTAGTTTAAAATGATCTTGTGTTAGTGGTGTCCAGTAGCTTGCTTATTGGAGACACTACAAATCATCTCTAGAAAAACCCACCTTCAACTCAGGCCTCAAGGGATTCCCACAAATAAAATGCCCAGAATAAAAGCTCACAGTAATAAACCAACAATAACAACAACAATAAATACCCACAAGCACAAGGAAACAAAACAGCTTGAGTAAGGTGCAACAGAATGAGACCAGTGAAGCTTTCAGATATTAAAAGTATCAGACACAGAATATAAAATAATACACTTATAGTTAAATAAAAGATGGAATTGAAAACATGAGTAGGGAGCAAGAGACTATTAAAATGACCAAGTAGATGTGAAAGAGAATTAAACAGAACTTCTATAAAAGAAAAATTAAGAGTTGAAATTTTAAAACTGTGAATGACTTTACTACTGGGTTATACACAGCTGAAAGTGGAATTGGTGGACTGGAAGGCAGATCCAAAGAAAATATCCAGAATATAATACAGAAAGTCAAAGAGATGAAAATGTGGGAGAGAGGTGAAGAGATGTGGATGAAAGAGTATGTCTCATATATGGCTGTTTGAAGGTACAAAGACAGAGGGAGGAGACTAGAGTCAAGGCAATAGTTGAAGAGATAATGGATGAAAACCTTCTAGAAATGCTGAAAGACACAATGCATTTTAAAGGAGCTGAAAAGTCTGCAAAATATAGAAGAGAAGCCCTTTGAACTTGTTTAAGCCAGTATTTCCTATACTGGTTTGACCACAGGACCCCTTTTGATGGAATAGCTATTACCACATTGGAGACCAAGGTTTTCTCTTTGGGAAACTGCTTTTGATCTTTTTGGGTGAGATCACCTCAGCAACTTGATTCTAACCTGTTCCCTCCCTTGGCTCCTGTCCTCAATTCCTGCAGAATTACGGGCCCAGATGAGGAGATTTGAGGAGCTGCTGCCCCAAGTGTGTTGGCTGGTGATGGAGAATTTCAAGGAGCACCACTGGAAAAAATTTTGCACCTCTGTGAAAGAGATCCGAGGACAGTTTGAGGAGCAGCAGAAGCAGCTGGAGAAAAGAAAGGTGGGGGGATCCCAGCCCTTCCACTACAGGACCAGGGGTCCTGGGAGTTCAGAAATGAAGGCAGGTCATGGGCAGAGCCAAATCCAAGGGAAGGAGATAAGCCAGGCTTGGGATTATCAGATGGGGGCTGAGGGCCAGGAGACATTGGTGAAATAAGAACTGAGCCAATAACTTTTTCACGGAAGGCGCTCAGTGAACTCCCTGTTGGATTTAATGGGTGGTCTGCTGGGTTCAGTGGGGATATAGTCATTGGGATTGTCCACACTGGTCCCTGGAGCTGTGGACGGGGATGCTCCTGATTTCATCGGACTAAAGACCCAGTTGTGCTGGGCAGATGCTCAGCCTGCCCTCTTCTGAGCCCTCCAAGTCAGCTCCAGCCATGCCCCTGGCTTGCCCTCTCTGCCACTCCTCTGCCCACCATGGCCTCCCACACATCTGGGTCAGAGGACACATCAGTCTGGCCATGGTCATAATTGACAAAGGACATAGGCCAGTGATTTTTTGGTCCTGACCTCAAGACTGGGTTGAAATCTCTGCTGAATTCTTGATTGTTGGATTGAAGGATGAAAATGCCCAGAAGCTCCATCCAAGTCTTGGACACCCCACACATTTCCAAGAAATGGAGTCTCTACACTTAGCAGAAGAGAAAAGACAGGAAGAGCTGGACAACGTGATTAGGATAAACAAGGAGAAGCTGGAGGTCAGTGGTGCCATTGAGTCCCCAGCCCAGCACCCTCCAGAAAGATGGCCCCAGTGGACAGCCACTGACTGCACTGTGTGCAGCCTTTGGTTGGCACCTTGGCCAAAGTAGGCATGAAAGTTGGGGGTTCTGTAGGTGAAAATGGTCATTATTGGATGTTCTAACTTGTATCCTCTTTGATTTCTAAATTACTTAATTACAGAATTACTAGTGATGACTTTTTTTTCACGATCCATGTTTAGTTGTATTTCTTCTTCTGTGAGTTGTCTGTGTGTGTCCCTCGGCCATTTCTGAATCATTTCTTATCTTCAAGCCAATTGCCTCTTGGGAGAGGCCTCCTGGCTGAGGACCAGATGCCAGTTAGCTCAGACACAACTGACACACAGCTTTGGTCTGGGCTCAGCAGCCGGCTCCTCACATCCTCCCAGCGGAGTCCCCGCAGCCCCTCTGCCAGCCGGCCTTGGAGGGAAGTTCCTCTCCCTGCAGGTCTGTGCTCACCATGTTTCTTCCAGGAATTAACCTGGAAGAACGGCCGGTGTTTCATAGCCAGCTTGGCCACCTTCACCGAGAAGTTCCTGGTACAGTTGGATGAAGTGGTCACCATCGATGATGTCCAGGTTGCAAGTAAGTGGCACCACCAGCCTCGTGACCTGGCCCCAGAGGGTGGTGAGGCATAGGTTGGGTGGGGAGGGTTCTGCTTTCCTCAACTCTACCAGAGTGAAAACAGGTTCTCTACTGAGGGGACTCATGAATTTGTATTTGTTTGTTTTCATTAAAAATAATTTTTTCATTAAAAAAGACAAATGCCAGATGGGTCAAAGGTTACGTGAAGATGAAACTCTAAAAGTAAATATTTTCATACTCTTGGTGTTAGGGACACCTTTTCTAAGTATGACGTGAGAGCCAGGAGCCAAAAAGTAAATGGCTGGCACTTCTCTGTAGCCAAAACAAAAACAGAAAATTGTCCAAGGATGGAAAGACAAACCACAAGCTGGGAAAGTATTCTTCACAACCTATAGGTCAGAGAAAGAATGAATATCCCTGTGGGACAAAACACTCTCACTGGTCGAATTTTTAAAGAGACAAAAGACACATTCACACACTTCAGAAGAGAAGCAATGAATATGGCCAGTAGCTAGCTATGAAAGATGCTCGACCTCACTGACAATGAAAAACACAAATGTAAACATTATTCAGATATTATTTTCACCAATAGCCTGGCAAAGTTTTTAAGTTTGGTGACAACAAACCCTGGTGAGAGTGTCAGGAAACAGAGACACCACAGGGACTCTTGATGGGAATGTATATGGATACTCTCTCTTGGAGAACCATTTGTCAGTCCTGTCAACATTCTGAATGTGTATACCTTTGTTCTATTTAATAGCATTCTAATTCTAGGAATTTATCTAGCAGAAACATACTTGACACTTTTTCAAAGCTATACGTTCAGGCTGGGTGTAGTGGCTCACACCTGTAATCCTAGCACTTTGGGAGGCTGAGGCAGGAGGATTGCTTGAGGCCAGGAATTTGAGACCAGCCAGAGCAAGAATGAGACCCCGTCTCTTACTAAAAATATAAAAATTAGCTGGGCATGGTGGTGCGTGCCTGTAGTTCCAGCTACTTGGGAGGCTGAGGCAGGAGGATTGCTCGAGCCCAGTTTGAAGTTATGGGGGGCTAAGATGACACCACGGGGGCTGTGATGACACCTGGGGCATTCGAGCCCCACTCAGCAGAGTGAGACCCTGTCTCAAAAAACAAAAATAAAAAGATGATAAATGTTCAATAGTATTCATCACAGCACTGTTTGAAATGGCAAAGAATTGGACACAGCACTAATATCCCTATGTAGGGGATTAGATACATGAATGACAGCGCAGACGCACAAGTGGACACTGCAGATCTGTCACAGAGAGGGTGGCAGCCTGCAGGTGCGACATGGAAAGACATGAAGGAGGACGGTTATGTGAAAAAGACAAATTGACACACAGAACATGTCTATGATCTCACGTTTAAAAAAAGCACATACGTGTTATCAACATCATACTCACGTGTTTAAATGAATCTGTGTGAGAGACGGTCAGAGACAGAGACATGGAGAATGAGAGACAGAGCCTGAGAGATAAGTACCAAACGGCTCATGATCACCGCTGCCAGGTGGCATTGTGAAAGAGCTCTAAAATCTTTTTTTTCCACCATTAGGTGATGTCTACATTTTTTATAATGTGCATATTACTTTTATAACTATAAGAAGATGAAAATCATATATTAAATGTTATCCATTTATCACTAACGTAATGAAAATACATTCTTTTTATTTTTAAAGATTTTTATTACAAAAACAATAAGTGTTCATTGTAGTACAAAAAGGAGCTCGATATGAACCGAGAAGGAAGGGAAGAACACGCTGCTTCCATGCAGAAATCATGCCCTTCGCACCCGCTGTTCTTAGTTCCACTCCTGTCCGTTTGGGCACAGGCCTGCGCGTGTGTCGAGGCAGGTGGGGAGGATTTTAGGGCCCGTGCACTTTTGTGACCTGACTTCCCTGCAGGTGGAACTTGGCCTGGCCAGTAACGCTCTTCTTGAGCACTTGCAGCTCGTGCAAACCATGATTTACTAAGCATCACAATTTGCCGATTAGCCCCCTGCGATCAAACACTGGGCCATTTCCCGTTTCCACTCCCGTAACTGTGCTGAAGAGAATCTCTGCATCCATACCTCTCTATTGTGGGGTGACAGACTCCTAGAGGTGCAGTTTCTGGGTCAAAATGTACACACATTTTGAGATGCTGGCCACTTTCCAATTTGGGAGGTCTCTGTCGAGGGTGAGCCTCGTTTGGGAAAGCAGGGCCTGCAGAGACACTGAGGCTGAGACCCCAGCGAGAACGGGCAGATGGGCTGTGATCGGAGCAGATCATAGTGGTTTGCAGGGAGCGCCAGGCCGGGAAGACCCTGCACCAGGCCCTTGGAGGCTCGTGAGCCAAGGCCCTGCCATTCACAGGCTCTCACTCCCTGCCGAGTCCCTTTCTTCCCAGTCAAGAAAGCACATCGAAGGTTGGACATTTGAGGGACAACCCTGAATGTGTTTGTCCCAAGGGAAGTTCTTAGTTCAGAACCTATATGTGCCAGCATGAGCCAAAGAAGGGTCCACAAAAGCACATTTGGGGACTCACAGAAGCTGCAGGAAGGTCAGAGCATCAAGCTCAGGGATTTGGAGCTGGGAATAGCACCCAAATCACTTCTCAGATTCCCCAAGCAAAGACCCCCTTCCCCTGCCACTGCCCCCAGCTGCGTAGCTGGCACATTCAGCTTCTCTGTGGAGGGGGCTCTGCTGGCCACTGGACACTGCAGGTGGGGAGGAGGGGTGCGAGCCCTCAGATCTCTAAATGGAACATGACAGGGAAGTCCCAGGATCTTAGGCTGTCGGTGAGGCCGCCGTCAGTAACCTGTCTCTTGCCTGCCAGGGATGGAGCCCCCCAAGCAGAAAATGTCAATCCTCATACGAAGGAAACTCGCTGGGCTGCCCCTGGAGGAAGAGAGTGAGAAGCCCCTGATTGAACGTGGGAGCAGGTGAGCGCCAGGGGCCCACAGGCTGCCATGAGTGGCTCTATCTGTGGGGGCAGGGCAGTGTAATGGTTAGGGGCTCGGGCTCTGAAGTCAGACAGACCCGGTAACCAGGGAGAGGCATGTGTTCTGGGCCTCAGTTCCTCATCTGTGCAATGGGCGTAGCAGTCTACCATACACGATTTTATAGAGGGAAAGTTAAATGAGGTTTGTACACGGAGTGCCCCAGGCATATACCAAGAGCTCAACAGCTATTGGTTCACGTGATAAGGACCCACCAAAGGGGCCCACGGTGAAAGGGAGGTCTATCTCAGTGGGGGACACATTCCTCGGTCACTGCGGGCACTGTGACCCATTCCAGCTATCTCTTAGACATGAAGAGAGTTGTCAGAGTGCCTGTCTCCTGCACCCCAAGAACGTGGCCCTGCAAGAAGCAGCCGAGCAGTGATTTGCCCGGCTATGTTCTCAGAAGTGGTCTTCACAGCATAATAGGAAAAATGGGCCAGAAATGGCGGCCACCACCTGGCTGGCAGGTTGCTGAGGAAACTGAAGCCCAGGAAAAGGGAAACAACTTGAAGGGTGGCTCCCCCTTCCCCACACAGAACCCAAAACTACCTGCACACAATGACTAAAACGGTATGGAAATACAACACAGAACTTTAAAAAGTGTAGCATCAAATGCTCAGTAGGATTTTTCCTTTTCATTAAGGTGTTTAAAGCCGGGGGCCATTGGGCCCACAGCACAGCCGCCCCCACCAAAAAAAAAAAAAAAGTTTAAAGCCATGAGCCTTGATAATTGTTTTAAAGAAATGCTCAGCTTCTCCAGCACAGGTGGTAGGTGAACTATGAATGATGGAGACAAGCCCATGGGGCTTTCACATACATGTTTGTCTGTAGGAAGTGGCCAGGAATCAAACCCACCGAAGTCACCATTCAAAACAAGATTCTTCTCCAGAAAACAGCGTCAATATTCACCAGCAAAACAACCCTGGGCCACCTGGCGGCCGTAGAAGCCCGAGATGCTGTGTACCTGGTGAGACAGGGAGGGGTGGGCATGTCCCAGGGAGCACAGCTCAGTTTGGCTGCCTCGGGAAGCGGGGAGCTGCCCATCACCGGGCACCCTGACATTTGGCCCACGTGGCAGACAACATGTCATTGCACCCCAGAGCAGCAGGTCTCAACTCTCGGGACATAAGGATGTGTTGTGGGTCATGGCCATCCCACTGCTGGCGTGGGTCTGAAGTGTTATCCCGGTGCTGTGGGAGCCCAGCCGAGGGACGCCACACCCAGACAGGGTGGAGAAAGGCTTTCTGGAGGAACAGTAGGCAGAGCTAGGGAACATCGTTGACAGGCACAGAAGCGATGGTGCAAAGGGTTCCCTGTGGGGGACAGAGTAGCAGGAGCAGGGACAGTTCCTGAGTACTTGCTGGTAGCTTCTGTTCTTGACATGAGGCATCAAGCTGAGTCCTCCTAACAACACCACGAGGAGGTAGAATTATTATCCCCATTTCTCTGATGAGGACACTGAGGCCCTTTATGCCACTATAGGGTGGGAGAGCCAGGATTTGATCCCAGTGCTGTTAGAGCCCCTTGGGCCTGGCCTTATGAGGAGACTGCACCCAGATGCCACCCGGGGGACCTCTTAGCTCTGAAGATCCATGGACCTTTGGTCCTGGTGCCCAGAGAGAAACCTTGTCCTTCCCAGAGGTCAGCTGGTCCCACTATTGGGAGAAGCCAAACTGCCCAGGATGGGCCCTTGTCCAGCTGCCCCTCCAAGCCCCAGGCAGAGGGAGCAGCTCTGCCCGCTGAGTGCAGTGAGGGTGAGAGGCCTGGAGGGCTCAGCCTGCCAAGGAACCGGGACCCCTGAGCCCCAGGCAGGCTGCAGTGCGGGACAGAGTTTAGAAAGGAGTCCAGAGTCCAGAGTCAGATGGACATAGGTCCTAGTTCCTGTTCAGCCTCTTTCTAGCTGAGTGACCCCAGGCAGGGCTCTGAGCCTCAGTTTCCCCAATTGTAAAATGAGCTGTGGGGAAAATCACATGAGAAATGGCTTATAGAACTCTTGCCAGTGCCTGGAATGGGTTAAAAGCCACCCGTCAGCGGGCTCCAGCGTTCCCCTAGCGCAGAGAGTCCAGAAGTCCCTCCTCACGTGGCCCCGTCCTGCTGCCTTCCTCCCTGCCTTCCAGAAATACTTAGCATCGTTTGAGGAGGAGCTGAAGAGGATCCAGGATGACAACACGTGTCAGGTGAAGGAAGCGCGGCGCTGGAAGGACAGCTGGAAGCAGTCCCTGCGCACCATCCAGGGCCTCTACGTGTGACGCCCTCCACCCACCCCGAATAAATGCTCGTTTCATGTGGGCTCCTTCTCTCTCTATCTAGCTACGCACCATCTATCCCTCTCTTCCTCCCTTCTTCCATCTGTGCCAAGCACCGTAGCTTCATCAGTGGCCAGGACATGGCGTCGTCCCTGCCTACGTGGGGCTCACTCGCAATGAGGAAGACACATGTGAAGGGTGGAGGGATCCGTGTGCTTAGGACGGATGGTGAGGACAGGAATCAGTTACCTAAAATAGACACCAGAACTTCAAAGGAAATAAGTTCCAAACGGCACGCTTGGCATTTCATGCTGAAAATGAAATAATAGTTACGGGACACGGATGGAACTGGAGAACGTTACGTTAAAGTGCAATAAGCCAAGCACAGAAAGACAAAGCTCACATATTCTCACTCACAGGTGGGAGCTAAATATTAAAAACAATTCATCTCATGGAGACAGAGAGTAGAATGACGGTTACCAGAGGCTGGGAAGGGTGGCAGGGAGCAGGGGATAAAGTGGGGATGGTTAATGGGTGCAAAAGTATGGTTAGATAGTTAGATAGAATGAACAATATTTGATAGCACAACAAAGTGACTCTAATCAACAGTAAGTTACGGTATACTTTAAAATAACATAAAGAGTAAAATTGGAATGTTCCTAACACAAAGAAATGTTAAATGCCTGAAGTGATGGATATTCCAATTACCTTAATTTGATTAATTCATATTACATGCCGATATCGAAACTCACATGTACCCTATAAAGATATGCAGCTATTAGGTACCCATAATCATTAAAAATAAATCTTTTTAATTTTTAAAAAATCAATTAACTTAAAAAAGTTATGGGAAAATTATATTTTATATGTAACAAACGTGAATTATATTTGCAACTATGCACTGATTCCTGGACCCAACCAAGAATTAATCCAATGTATCTGTGACACAATTGTCTGACCAAATCGTAGCATTTTGGCAAAAATCTTCCAGGCCCCCTTAATTTTCCTAAGGGGCTCTGTGATGCTCAGATTATTTTCTTGGAGACGTCCATCCTGCCGTCTTTCTTGTCGATTTTCTCTCCTTCAATTACTAAGTGGTGTAATCACACCGGTCTCACCTGTCAGTAGTGCTGTGTGTCAGACGGCCAAGCTGCTCCTGCTCCTGCCGTTACTCTGGTTGGGTTTGCATCTTGACCTTGCGTCAGTTGCATTTGCATATGCTTTATCTCTCTTAATGACATCATGAGGTAGGCTTCCCTCACCCACCCATTTTATAGGGAAAAAACTCAAGTCCAGAAGGTTGAGGTGACCCATTCAAAGTGACACAGCCAGTTTAGAACCTCAGCCATGTTTGAGGTTTCCTGAAAGAGTGCAGGGACTCAGAGGCTAGTCGCTTGTTTTGGACATGATCCTGAGAAGCAGGAGTGAGGACGTGGGGAGAGAAGCCTGGGAGGAAAGAAGCCCTGAAGGGCCTTAAGGTGTGGCTGCTACTGTGGGCTCAGCCTCCTGAAAGTGCTGCCCCACTTGGCCTGGCTCTGTCCATGCTGGTGGAGGGTGACCCCGGCATTAACACTGCCACACTGCTGGTCTGGGCCAGCTCGCAGGACAGGAGCCTCTTGGGGAGCCAGAAGAGCCCTCATGCAGAGAGGGGTTCAGGGGAGACTGCTGGCCTGCTGGGGACCAGCCCCCCAGCTGCAGGTGAACTCAGGTGGGCCAAGGGGACGAAGTGCAGCATTGGCCACATCATCACCCCAGGTTTCCCAGTCCAAGGCAGGAGCCCTTGCACCACTCTGCCAGGACACCTTCTTCCTCAGAGCAGCAAGTCACATGTGCATAGCCCCTCCCAGCTTGCAGCACGTTCTACACATACGCCATCTAACCTGGTCCCGCGGGGAAAGGGGTGGCAGCCCCATGCAGCCCCTACGCTGTAAACAAGGAAACTGAAGCTCTGAGAAATAAAGGTATCTCCAGACTCACACAGCAAGAGAGTGACACAGTTATGGCTTTAGCCTAGCTGGGCCTGTCCCCCAGGTGCATCTGCCCCCTCAAACAAATGTGGAGGGAATGCACCCGGGTGTTTTGTAAGTGGGGCGGTCCAGTCCTCATTCCAGCTTCCCCCAGAGCGGACCTGGCCTGTGTTTGACACAGGGAGGTTTTGCTGCTTCCCTGTTCCCTCCCTCCCCCAAAAGGTCTCACAACGGATCTGGAGGGATGTGGGGTGCATCTAGAGCCTTCTGTGTGCTCTTTGGGCCAGCTCTGCCCTCAGGGCTCCCTCCGCCTCTGTTGCTCTTTTGATGGGGCTGTTCAGGAAGACAAGTGCTTTCCCAGTGTGAATGCTCAGTCCGCCCAGAAGGAAGCACCATCCAGGAGCTGCTCTTTAATCAAAGCCTCCTTGTCCTGCACCAGCCAACTCCTGACCATGCACAGAACCCACAATAACCCTGCCCTCTGCACTGGCCTGTTCCCGAGGAACAAAACCCACTGAGTACTTGCTGAGATCAGCGTGCTGGGACCCCAGAGTAGCAGAATGCAGAGCCTGGAAGATATCTCAAAGACCAGTCTTAGGTTTCATAACGGAGATGTTATCTATGGGAACAATGAAGAAAGCTAAGAATCTTTATGACTCCTGAAGAATAAGCAATTACAGGAAAGCAAGCCATATATATATGGGTGGTCCTACATGTATATATATATATATATATATTTTTTTTTTTTTTTTTTTTTGAGACAGAGTCTCACTGTGTTGCCCGGGCTAGAGTGCTGTGGCGTCATCCTAGCTCACAGCAACCTCAAACTCCTGGGCTCAAGCAATCCTCCTGCCTCAGCCTCCCGAGTAACTGGGACTACAGGCATGCACCTCCATGCCCGGCTAATTTTTTCTATATATTTTTAGTTGTCCAATTAATTTCTTTCTAATTTTAGTAGAGACGGGGTCTCGCTCTTGCTCAGGCTGGTTTCGAACTCCTGAGCTCAAACAATCCGCCCGCCTCGGCCTCCCAGAGAGCTAGGATTACAGGCGTGAGCCACCACGCCCGGCCCTTACATATATTTTTAACTATGCCTATACCTTTGCAGAGTTGAGGCCCCTACCACAGTTCCCATCTGTGGCCTTTTATTAATTTTATAAATTATGGTTTCACTGCTGCCTCATTCCACTGCCTCTCTGGGCCTGATAATTTAAAGGGAGTGGCATTCTTCAGATAAAGTTTCTTTTCTTTCTCACCAGAAAGGGCATGGAAGTTTCGTGCCCCTTCTCCCATGCCTTGCCCTGGGCATCACTTACATCTGGCTGTTCATTTCTATCCTTTATTAATAAACTGGTAAATGTAAGTAAAGTGCTTCCCCGAGTTCTATGAGCTGCTCTAGCAAATTAACAGAACCCAAGAAGGGTGTGAGAACCCTGATTTACAGCCAGTTGGTCAGAAGTAGAGGTGACAACCTACTCCTTGCAACTGGATCTGCAGTGGGGGGCAATCTCCATGGGCTGTGCCCTCAACCTGTGGGCTCTAACTCTATCTCCAAGTAGATAGTGTCAAAATCAAATTGAACTAGAGGACACCTCATGTCCACTGCAGAATCGGTTGGTGTGTGGGGAAACAACCCCACACCTCTGGTGTCAGAAGTATTGTACTGAGTGGTGTGTGAGTAGAGGGAAAAACACTTTTCCCCCTATATCTTGCATATTGGGATGCCTTTCATCTTATTCTCTCGTCTAATTGCCCCAGCAAAAACTTCCAGTATGATGTTGAATGAAAGTGGCAAGAGCTGACATCCTTGTCTTAGTCCTGATCATACAGGGAAAGTTATTGAGTCTTTTAACATTCATTGTGATGTTAGCTGTGGATTTTGCTAAACTTTATTATGTTAAAGAAGTTCTTTTCTATGTTTATTTTGTTGAGTTTTTATCATGAAAGGGTGTTGGATTTTGTCAAATGCTTTTTCTGCATCAGTTGAGATGCTAATGTGGTTTTTGGTCTTAATCTTATTGATATGATGTATTACATTAACTGTTTTTGTCCAAAGTCACCAACAAATCATGAGCAGAACCAGCTTGGGATCAGAGGCTCCCGAGAAACTGGGCTAAGTCTTCAGGTTCATGCTCTTGAATCTGTCTCCTGTCACTGCCCATCCCAAGGTGCCAAAGCCCAGTAGGGTCAAGATAAATGCCTGGGTCTGAGTAGAGCTTTACAGAGAACCCACTCTTGACACCTCAGAGAATGCTGGCTCTTGCAGCAGAGAAGCTTCTTCCCTAAGGAAGGAAAGTGAGGCCCTGGCACTAGGTTAGAAGGCTTTTTCCCTAGTCTGCAGACCATCTCCACCAAGGGCTCTATAGCCAGGGAAGCTCTGCAAAACACTCTAGAAAATCACTCAAGTATCAGGAAGATCTCAACTTCAATAAGAATAGACAATCAATATGTGTGAATACCAAGATGGCAGATACTGGAATTATTTGGCAGGGATTTTGAAGCAGCCATAGTAAAAATGCTTCAATAAGTAATTACAAACACACTTGAAATAAATGAAAAACTAGAAAATCTCAACAAAAAAATAGAAGCTATAAAGAAACCAAAATAGAAGTTTTAACTGAAAAATACAATAACAACAAAAAACTCAATGGAGGGGCTCAACAGATTTAATAAGAAAGAATCAGTGAACTCAGAGACAGAACAATAGAAATTAACCAATCTGAACAATAGAGAAGATGGATGGGAGGAGTAAGCACACAGGGTGAGCTCGGGGCAGTGTCTGCCACTGTGATCAGAAGCATGTTGGTGTTTTGGTTGGTAAGGCTGTGCCCCTGCATGTGGATCATCAGTCTTGGTGACATCCCCAGTTGCCCCTCTTCTGCCACCCCTGTACTTCTCATCATTTAACTCTCTTCATTGAAAGGTTCACACCCCTCATGACATAACCACAGTACAAGACTGTGGACAAAGAACACGGCCATCCAGGGAGCCACAAGCTCTAAAGGCCCATACCCAGCTTGCCCTTAGCACAAGTCA